ATAACTTTGCAAGCTAAATAACAACACATTTGTCAATATAAAATAGTAAAATCAAATTATATGACAAACTTTATTTAAAACAAAACGAAAATAAGCATGATAAAACATTAAAGCCGGTAATGTTTTGGATTCACGGTGGTGGACTGAGTATTGGCTCAATATTTCAGCCCCTATACAATGGCAGCATATTGGCCACCAACGATGTGATAGTGGTCTCTGTTAATTACCGCCTAGGTCCTTTTGGATTTTTATACGCCGGTGCCGATCACGAGCATACAGTGGCCGGCAATGCGGGCTTTTATGACCAGCTACTGGCCCTGCAATGGGTATAATAAATTATCAATAATATTTAATCGTAGTAAATACATTAAAAATAATGACTATGTTTAATTTCAAGGTAAGGGATAATATACACTTGTTTGGTGGCGATAAAAACATGGTAACCATATTTGGTCAAAGCGCGGGCAGTTGGTCGGTGTCGGCACATGTGTTGTCTCCGTTATCTAAAGGCCTATTCAAGAGGGCTATTATGTCGAGTGGAGCCCATATGTACAGTAAGCGCAGGGATATTGTGACCAAAACGGATGCTGTAAATATGGCTAAACATTTGGCACGTGATCTAAATTGCGATGACCATGGTGATTGGGTAGATTGTTTGCGAAAGATTGACGCACACGAGTTGGTCAAGTCTATGACGCCGTTGACGTTCCCGGTGTTGGGCACCAAGTTTTTGCCCCTTTCGGCCGCTGAGGCTTTCCAGCAAAATATGTTTAATTCAGGTTGGTAAGAAATTTATAAATAAATATATCAATATTAAAATGTATTATAATAATATGAATACTAATGCCATTAGTAATTTATATTGTTTTGAATTAATGGTATATCTTACGATGAAATTTTGTATTTACAGTTTTACTTATTGTTAACATTTAATAATAGTTTAAAACAGTAATTAATAATATATTGATAAATAACAAATAATTTGTGTTTGAAAACTAGATAATTAAAAATTGGTGCTAGATTTAATTTATTGGAAAATTAACATTTTACATAAATTTTGTTAATATTAGACATAGATCTTTTGGCTGGTGTGAGCCGAGACGAGGGTCCATTGTTGGCCAAAGTTTCCTACCCATATGTGTTTGGTGCAAATATTACAATGGATAAATTTATGGAAACCTTGAACAAATTAAATAATGTATTTCACGACATAACTGAACAAAATGTTGGAAATTATTATGCAAATAATGAAAATGACCATGGTCAATTAAGCGTTGCATTTGGCCGCTTATATGGTGATTTATTTATGATTTGTCCCACATATGTGTTTGCCAAACAATTTGCCAAAAATAGTCAACATAGTTCAACATATTTCTACATGTTAACATTTAAAAGCAAAATGTTTGCTATGTTTGATCAAGATGATAGAGACGAGTCAATTCACCATGGTGATGAATTAGCATTTGTTTTCGGTCACCCGCTTATGGATCAGCAAAACTATACGGAAATTGATTATGATTTAAGTATACATGTAATGGAAATGTGGACTAATTTTGCCAGAAACGGGTTAGAATTTGAATAATAATTTATTATCATTAGCGAGAGAGAGAGAGAGAGAGAG